GCCTGTGCCTTCTGTTACCCTGGAGCAGTAGGAACTGTGCTTATACGGGGCGGTGCCAGTTTCCCTGGTGTTTCAGGTGAAGGTATCAGGTCATGTGGTGGGGGAGCATGGAGCTCCAAGTTCCTGTGTGTGCCAGGAAGCAGAACTTATTGCTGAGCACTAAGTAAGGGAGCCTGGAGCCATGCAAAGATTTCAAGGGTAGGGGATCGGGAGTGTTGAGCTGTGAGTTGTTCTTCCTATCTTCTCATGGTTAGTTGCTTCTCTGTGGATTCAGAGAGAGCTTTGCTTCTTAGTGGTTATTGAACCCTGTGGGTGCCTTTTGAGTCCTCTGATCTCCTTTTTTCAGGGTAGTTAGTCACTGCTAGGCTATAGTGATGTCAACAATCTGCCATCTTGCTTGATCCTCACAAATATTTCTTAACTTACTGTCATTCTTACATGTAGAAAGCATCTTTTTTTTAAATCTTTAGTGCAGCACAAAATTACTTAGACATCACTGAAAGCATGGCATCTCATTGTGGAAAAATGCAGTATTTTCAAAGTAATTTTCAAACTTCATTTATGGCTAAGCATGAATAAAAGAAAGCCATTTGCTTTAAAGAAAGTGACTACCTTTTAAATATGGCATGTGTCTGTGAAAATATCCATCTTTAGATGGCTGATATCTTCCTCAGAATTCTGTATACTTAGGCAGTCCATGCAATCAGAAAATGATGGGCAAAATAAGGTATTCTGAATAGAGTTTAAACAGCCTCTATTTTATTTTACCTTTGAGTCACCCTAGCAAGTTAATTTTCAAATTAATTTATGTTGGGGTCAATACATTGAGAGAACTCCTGCTGATACTTGATTGGAAACTTCATATTGCATAATCATGTGAGAGTTGCAGTTGGGGCAAAGGCTGGAGATAGAATTGTCTAATTCTCATTGGACAGGATTTGGCTCTGGGTTGCTCTTGTACTTCTTGTCAGCTGTATCTAGGATTAATTTCTTACTGCTTATAAGGACACATTAACCATCAGGTTCCTGACGGTACAGGGCACCATCCTCATTGTCTTGTAGGAAGATCTGTCTGACATGTTTCCTTTTTAGTTTGCTTGTTTCTGAAGTCATTCTGCAGTTCTGTTTTCCATACATGTCCCGTGTCCCTATTATGGTTTGAATATGAAATGGCTCCTACAGGCCCATGGTTTGAAGACTTGATCCCCAACTGGTGGTTCTCCAATGGGAGGTTCTGGAAACTTTATCAGGTGGGGAGTAGCTGGAGAAATAGGTCATGTGGTACCTCCTTGAGGGCTATCTTGTCCTGGCCCCTGCTAATTTTCTCTCTCTGCCTTCTTTCTGCCATAAGATGAGTAGTTTTGCTGCACCAGATACTCCCTACCTCCGTGTTTTATCTCACAGCAGAATCACATGAGCCAAAAGAATTCCTTCTCCTTAAGTTGTTTTTCTCGGGTATTTGATACAGCAATACAAAAGTAACTACATGGTCACTCTCTACAAAGTTCGAGAAACTCATTGTCCTCCTTTACTAAAGATTACTGTGAACTCTTTGTACTGGTTTTATGTATAAATGAAATGCCTGAGGTGTTTCTGGACAAATACAAGTTAATATATTTTTACTGTTACTCACTATAAGTATGTAGGCCACTTGAGATAAAAAAAAAAAGCTGTGGGGTTCAGTATGTTTGGAAAGCCCGTGTTTAACAAAAATAGCCAAGGGACTTTGCTATGGGACTTTCCAGAACCTTAGTGTTAAACTGTGTGTTGAAAGTTTTCAAAGTGAAGTATTACATACTGTTTCTTAAGTGTATTTTATTGGCGATAAGATTGCCAGTGTGGTATTTTAAAAGTTCTGCTTTAGGAAATATTGTCCTAGACCACACAGAACATATGCAGCTGGACAGAGAAGCTACGTAGCTGTCAAGTATTGTTTTAGGTGAACAATTTTAGATCTGGCTTAATAAGACATGAACTACTATGAAATTAATTTTCTAATGTCTAGTAAATTACATACTTCTAAGATGTTTGGTTCCACACTTAAGTAAGTAAACCAGCAGTGGTATTCAGAATGGTGTAAAAACAAAATGCAAAGCAGACCCAAGGTTTGCAGCTCATAGGACCAGTGGCTTGGAAAGTTTTTAAACTCAGGAAGCACTGATTTTCTTTATGTATACATGGAGCAACAGCTAGCTTGTCTACAGGGATTGAATGGAGTGGATCAAAATGCAATATAAAATCGTGATAATGGAAATATTATTATCACTACTATCTTTTTAACAATATTCCCTTCGATTGACTAGATCAATCTATTTGGTGAATGAATGGCTGCTGGCAAAAGGCCACACCCCTATTTGCCTTATGAAACCCTGGAGACAAGTGAAGCTATAGAGAAATCAGGCATGGACTGACTGGGTCTGAAAAAAAAAATGCTCATTTCAGACATCATTTCTTGGGATTTGTGCAGCAAACAGGCTACTTATCTCCTCCAGCCACTGTAAAAGAGTTTTCACAATTGACTATTTCTCCACTGTCATAAAACTATCTTATAGTTAATTTGATAAATCCAGTGTTTGTGGACTTTGAGTTTTTTGAATAAATTTCATTTGTTTTCTGTCATTTGGATATTGATAAATTTTTACAGATACAATTTCCTAGAATTTCTTTAAAATATTCAAATTATATGTTGGATGGAGTGGTTACACTTATTTCTGTGATTATCTGTATAAATAAAATGATGTACTTGAAATAAAAGTGTTAGCCATCTTCTGCTCATACTTTCTTGCCTTACTCATTCTTTACTCACCTCTAACTCCATGTGTCAGAAAAACATTTCACTTTGGACCTATAGAAAGAATTATTCACTTGTTGCCTTTTATAATGCATTTGAATTTTTTCAGCTGATTTAAAAAAATTGTCTATGAGTGTTTATGTACATGCGATGCTATACTGAAAAACACAATACATAATACAATGTTATGATGTCTAAGGAAATCTATCTTAGCATATTTGATGTAGAAATAAGATATGTCTGATTGAAGAGATTTGTGCAGAATATCAGTAATCTGAGTAGAAATACAATTTAATAGAAAATCAAAATTGGATTTAAAACACTAAATTTTTTTCTGTTGTAATGAATTTTCCTGGTAATCAAACACAATAAAACCATATATTTGAATTTTTCATAAAAAGTTAATCAAGATTGGAAAACAATAAATTAGATGAACCAATTTGGGTTATAATACACATATACATGGAAATATCACAAGCATACTCCCTGTATAGCTATCTTAAACAAACAAAAATGTCTCTTTTTTTGTATAAAATCAGAAAGGAGGAGAGCAAAACAGGTTCTGTCTGGGTAGTTGGTACCAGTGGAGGTAGAAGAATGTAGGGAAAGGGTGTAGGAGGGGGAATATAGTGTAAAATACTGTGCACACATGACATGTCTGTAAATGGAAAAGTGATGCCTGTTGAAACTATTCCAGGAATGGGGGCAGCGGGGATAAAAGAGAATGGTGGAAGGGGTGAATTCAAGTATGATATATTTGATATATCATAAGAACTTTTGTAAATACCACAATGTACTCCCAGCACAAGTGAAAAACAATGAAAGATTTAACATCTCTCAATAACTAATAAGAAAACATAAAAGTGATAAAGATAACTAAGATTTGAATAAAAATAGACATTTTTAAAAAGATTGGAAAACAACATTCAAAGGTGATCATAATTGATCTTTAATGATTTGTAATAGTTAAGAGACCCATTAGCTAGAGTTATTGATTTGAATGGAATTGACAAGTGCTCTTGTCTGGGGATAGATATGGAAGGAGCAGGGAAATTGGGGGCTTACCATGAAAGAAGGCTTGAAAAGAGAGAGCCAACAGATGATCACATCTCCAAGGACAGGGGAAGGAGAAACAGACTAAGCTTTGTGTAAATGGTAGGCTTTTTAAAACCTTAGAACAACAGATTTTCAAATGATGCACACAGAGGAAACTTATTTTCACTATATTGGCAAGCAGGAGAAAGTTACTGTAGCCTGGCTTGAAATAGTGAAAACTTCTTTGTCTATATTAACAGACTAGATTCTTTCATATTTTAGCTTTCTCAATTTTAGTTTAAACAGCTTCTATTCAATGCCATAAGTGTATGATGATCATGGAAATGATACAGCACAGAGTGAACTGGTGACCATGATGTCCTCTAAAACACATACTACCTGATTTATTTTATCATCTCTGATATTTAAAATTCAAACATGTCATCCTTGCATCATTCTGACCATTCCAGATGTCCTACTGTATTCAGAGCCCAGCTCAGGGAAAGTCTGAATGGAGATAATTGAAAGAGCCTTTCACTGAGTTTTCCCCTTCCTAGCTAAACATAAATAACCTTTCATGAGCTGACTTTTATCTGCAAAAGAGAATAAATCAAGGGCATTCTGCATTTGATTATTATGGCTCCAGCTTAAGTAAATTATGGAGAGGATGGTATTGAATGAAATTGAAGAGCTTAATGTTCAAAGGAATGACTTAGAGAATGACGATAAATACTTGGAATTATTCATTATCCGTCCAGAGAGCTTGCATATTGCAAGCCATTATTTTAGCTTTCTTGCAAGATTGCTCGTGGTATCCACAAACATGAGCTCAAAGTGCCTAGTGTGATCCTGAGAGTTGGAGCTGAATTTCTGGCTCAGAATAAGACCACTTGCTTTTTCATTTCTCTTAAGGAGAGACTGACTAGATATTAAGATACATGGTTGAAAGCTTGTCTTAAGTATACAATGTTGGGAAAACTAAAAAAACCCATATAAATAGAATAATATAGCAGGAATCTTGAGATAATCCTTTCAAGGAGCAGAAATAAGTTTATATGAAAAGGGGGACAAAATCAGAAGGTTCCTCCCCACCATCATGTTATCAACCATATTTTCTTTTCACAGGATGGTAAATTTCAATAGAAGATATGCAAAAGGGACACAGGACACCTACCTTTTCCAGCAGTTGGCGAAGTTGCCTGCTTTTGGCATCCCTGGAGCACAGGTTCTGTTCTGGAGCCACCACTGTGCAAATGCACCGCCCATCAGGATCCTGTGCTGAGCTGTACACTTGCCAACCTTCCTTGGGACTAATCTGAGTCTGGGATAACCAAGAGCAAACACACAAAAATAGACTGTTGTTATAGGTGAAGGAAAAGGTGAGTATATATGCAGCAGCTTCAGAAACCACCTTTTTTGGATGAAGTTTGTATTGTCATTCTTTAATGTTAGAAGAGAAAGATTAAACAATACCCATAGGCAGATCAGCTTCACTTAGTTATGCCTCCCTTATCAATGTCCAAAAGGAGATCCTTTGCCTTCCTCAGATTTTGTAGTATTACCTGTTTGCTGATCTCACATCAACTACTTCCTAGTACTTTTTGTCATAGTTTGATAATTTAATGACACTTTGGAACTTCCTACTCTCCACTTAATCACACATAACTTGTCTTTCTACATTAGATCTGCTGGCTTGTCCTCTTCAACAGTAAATAGCAATTAATAGCATATTCCTTCTTGATCATTATTCATGTCTGATATTCTGACACAAAACCCTGTCTCAGGAGCTTCTTATGTTTTGAAGGCCTAATTATTAATAAAGCAGGAAGACTTCACCATGATTACCTAGGATAAAATAAGCTACACTATTTTATTATGAATGCAGAGTTTTAAAGGAGTTAAAGAGAGTTTATTTGGCAGTTTGCCAAAGTGATGTCCCAGTAACTTCTCCGAATTTATAATCCTACCTCTCTAGAACCCTACCATATAAAGCCATGGTACCCAATTCTTCCTCCAGCTTGTGCTCATAGTTTCACCTCTTGTGCTGTCCAGCAGTCCAGCCAGATATGTCTGTGTGTTTCCTGCAAATTTGCTACGTTTATTCACATCATTGCTCATTTTGCTTCTATTACTTGTATTGTCTCCTTTGTGAACACGAATTTATTCAGCCCTTGTCATTTCTACCTGTTCTGAAGAATTGTCTGTACTATCCATTAGACATTTAATGTGCACTGTACAGCATTATTATTGTATTGAATATGTCTTATTTCAATAATTTGTTTATGTGAATATTTCTTATCTGTCTACCAAGTATACTCCATAAAGTGCAAAGATAATCATTTTGATTTTTTTGTCTCATTATTTTCCAAGAAGAACCTCAATAGTTTTTCAAATAATATATGCAAAACAAACTTATTTTCATTCTATGGTAGTGGAAGAATTTCACCATGATTAGAATAGTCTTGAAATTATGTAAGCCAGCAGTGTCTGTGTTGGCAAATTCAAAGGATTCATTTTTCTAGCTTCTCTTAATTTTCCATTGAAAGTTCCTTCTGTTATACAACAAGGGTTATTATAGATGGCAGGGTGCGCCTGCCAGGCACACATTCCTCCAGCTGCTGGGAGCACTGGAGGCTCATGTCTCCATTGAGTCTGTCTTGGGGAATTGCCTGGCTGAAGAATGCTGCCTTGCTCAAGGTCAGGTCCATTTCAGGGACAGCTCACTTCCACTGACTTGCAGATGCAAAGGTACCAAGAAGCACCCAGAGCAGCAGGAACTATTACTGTTATTCTCCGCCCACCTGAGAATGTGCAGGCTGTATATGGTGGCTCCAGGGTATGAAGACAGAAGTTTTGCTACAGAGCAGCACGGTACAAGAAAAATACAATGGGAGCCATGTGTGTAATTGAAACTTTTCTAGTAACCACAGTTAAAAAAAAAAAAAAAGACAAGAAACAAATGAAATTAATTTTAATAACATTCACTTCAATTTATTCAAAATGTCATCATTTAACATCTAATAGATATAAAACTTTTCATGAGATAATTTGTATTCTATTTTTTAAAAAAATTGTAAGAAGTCTTAGAAATTGAGTGTGCATTTTACACTTCTCAGTTTGGACTGCCCACGTCTCACACGCTCCACAGCCACATGTGGTATCCTTTTTTGGACAGTATATTTCTAGAGTTTTGCTTTTAATTCATGTGCTAGTGACAAATTAGTATGATGCTAAACTTGAATATAATTGCATTTTTAAAGATTAATCATGGATATTGAGAAAACACCTAGCAGATGTTACATAAGCACACTGTCATTTTGTGCCTGATTTTGTTTTTCTTCTGAAAATATGAAATAAATTGTTGTTGGCTTCCTTCTGACTCAGCTCTGAGCTTCAGTCTGCATTCAGGCTCTGAATTCTTTATCCTTCCTCTATCTTTCCTTCTATAAGTTTCTGAGATTGGGCAGATAGAGAAGTATTTCTTGGTTGCTCAGGAGAAGAGGGAGAAGAATTCAGAATCTAATGTCCTGTTTTTTTTCTGTCCCAGGTCCTATCTTACAGTGTACTATAAACCAACTCACAGTTTTCTTTTCAAGGGCTTGAATGATAATCAATATTGGGGTCCTGATAGGCATTACAACCACAATCATGAACAAATATTGGGAATCCATAACTATAAATGTAAGATATCATAATTCTTATCCTCTGTTTACTATGAAAATCAAATGGTGCCATACCTATCTCTTCAGTCTCTTCTTATCTAAGTCTTACGCTGCGTTTTATTTCTCAGTGGTTGGACTCATTAGTATTCCTCTATTTTTTCCTATTCCATTCCCCTTTCTTTCTGGCATTTATGCCTCATTATCCAGTTAGAATAGAATCATGTTCTTAGAATTGTATGTTACTGGAATCAGATAAGATCTTAAAGATCTTGGATTATCTTTTTTTGTGTTACAAGAAAACTGGGGAGATTATCCACAGAACAGAGGTAGATACAGCTTTGTGAAGTAATTTCCATGATATAATTAAATCTTTAAACTGACTAACAGCATGGGATTAATGTATCTGGACATAGGCCTTCTTTGTTTTTCTTAACATTGGACACAAACCTCAAATATTTCAAAAAGTTAAGGTTTGTCACTAGAATAAATTTAGCTTTTGGATAAAAAAGTAGGGGGGGTCACATAATTATAATATTAAAATATTTTAACACCAGTGCAAACACTGATTATTAAATCTGGCAGCTTTAATGTGATGTGCCCTTGCCAGGTGTTTGGCTAACAGTGTGGAGCTTATCCTTACAGGGTTAGGTATCAGTCGCTCTTTTGAAGGAGGCAGGTGGGAAGGGTGAACAGGGTTTGATGTTCATTTACAATTCCTCCTGAAGGGTCAGCTTAATGCAGTAAAGACTCTCACCATGTTTTTACTTCCAATTGTCTTCTTGTAAGAACCAATTAAAAGAGTCACATCATTCTCAGCGAGGTTAGCCAGGCTCAGAAGACAAAAAATCATATGTTCTCCCTCATATGTAGACTTTAGATCTAGGGCAAATGAAGCAATGTGGTTGGACTTGGGTCACATGACAAGGGGAGAGCACATAAGGGTGATATGGTGATAGGTAAGAAACCCAAAACATGAAAGTGTTTGATGTCCCCACTGCAGAAGAACTAATACAGAAACTTTAAAGCGACAGAGGTCAATATGGGAAGGGGATCAGGAACCAGTGTAAGGATCAGTTAGAGATGAATCAACTTGGGATGTAACACATTTGTACATGGAAGCAATGCTAGGAGTCTCTCTGTATAGCTACCCTTATCTCAGCTAGCAAAAATGCTTTGTCTTTCTTATTATTGCTTATGCCTGGAGATAAAGGCAGAACAGGTTCTGCCTGGGAGCGAGGGGGCAAGTGGGGGAGGGAGGGGATAGGGGGGTAGGGGGGAGAAGTGACCCAAACAATGCATGCATATGTGAATAAATGAATTTAAAAAAAAGAAGAGTCACACCCTTCTCTATGACAGTTAGCTTGAATGATTTAAACTGTAAAAGATAACTTGAAAGAGGAGAACCTTAATTATAAAAGGATGAGTGCTAACAGTCCTGTGGATTTTAACTCAGACCTCTGTGTAGGTCAGCGATAAATAAAAGAAATATTATGAACATTTCTAGGACTTCTTTTAGGGGCCCCATGCTGGTGTTAAAAAGAGAGTCAAAATAAAACCAACTCTGACCTCAGGCGGAAGGACGTGTTTAGATATTTCTTAGATACCTATGAAAAAAGACCTGCTCCGATTTTAACATGTAGGAGGAAATTATTAATAAAACTCATGTGCTAGAAAGAGCAGTCGTTTATGGAACTCTATCCACTACCTTCAGTTTACGTGCTTTATTACCTTTGAATTTCAAAATAGTTCAAAGGGTGAGGTCACAGAATCTTGGCCATTTTATTGATGAGGAAACTGAGACAGGAAGGAACTTGCTCAAGGTCATGTAGGCGAGTCAGCAGAACTGGGATTTATACTTGCACAGCCTGTTTTCAGAACATGAAGTTTACCTACCATATTGCACCATCAATTGTTCTAACACCCCCCCAATACACACTACAACCCCAACAGTGTTACCTGGGTTCTGTGAGCCCTAAGCCTTGGACCTGGGAGGTACGTAGAGTTTATTATCACCCAAGGTATCACAAGTCACGGTGATTACCATTCTCTCTGAACCTTTTGTGTTAATTAGAAGAACTAAATGAGCTAGTTAGTAGTTTTTAACATCATAAAACTCATGAAATATTTAAGAATGCTCTAAACAGGAGAATTAAAATGATAATTTTAACAATTGTATTTCAAGTCTGGGTTCTTTGCTTGTAATTTAAGTATAAATTTATGCTTTATAAATACAAAGTTACCGTCTGAGAATTCTCCTTTCATATCAGAAAACAAATATCCTGAGACCTGAGAAGGAGAGGCAAAAATAAATCAAAATACCGTACATTTTAAGAGTTTTTAACCTTATCAAATTCCTTATCTTATATTAGTCTCACTTCTTTGGAGCCAGCTACACTTAGAAAAAGACAGTATCTTACTTCATTTAGGCAGAAACTGAAATCATAAGCATTTACGTCATTTTTTTCAAAGTCACCCAGTTAGTAAATGTCACATGAGACTTATACAAGTTTTCTCTAACTTTCAGCCTAGAGTTCATTGAGGTCATTTACTAGGGCCGAAATGAATGGTCAGAAAAAGGGAGAGAATTCTGATCTTATGAGCAGAAGCAAATCAGCTGGTTGAACATTGTTGGGTTTTATGTTTTGTTCTGAGTTCCTGG